CTCAAGGAAATATTTTCTTCTTCATTCTGCCTTTCAAAAACAAGGTACTTTTTTTTTTCAGGGACATGTTATGCAAAATAAATAAATAAATAAATAAATACAGTACATGTCAGATGCTCTGTAGCATTTGTTCTACGTCCATATTGTTACTCCACTGAAATTAAAGTAAATTTGCAGTATTTCATCCTCTTCCAATACAGTAAGCTTTCACTCACCACAAGACCATCCATGTGGGTAGATACTTCACAGCAGCTGCTATCATGAGGTAAAAACAGGCAGAGATTTATCGTGTAATTTGTTCATGTGCCTTTGTCCCTCTATCTAAAAGCTCAAGGCCCTAGGAATCTCAAATCAATGAATATTTCTGAAATTAGTTCCTCTGTGCCTCAGTTAGTCATTTGTACTCGTCTGTAAAACAAGAATAAGATCAGCCCTTTTTGCCACAGGGTTTTTGGTAAAAAAAAATAAGTTCATAAATGCATGTGAAGTATTCAGATACTGTTGCAACAAGCACCAAAAAAAAGACTACGAGCAAAATAATAATTGCTTTCAGATTAGAATTTGAACAGCATGCAGCAATTATGCCATGAGATTATACAATGAACAGTAAGAAAATAAGTACTAGATAGTTGCTCATTAAACGAGTCTGTGTACTAAGACAGTGCTGCTTTAGAAAAATAGTATGATACTGGATCATAGCGCTACAAGGGACTGTATTAAAATTGCACAGATAATCTCCATTTTAGCATATCCAGACTTTGGAATGCTTGACTTACTACGTAATATTTTCTTAAAAAAAAAAAAAAGAAAAAGAAAAGTTCCAGCACGTAGCCTCATATTGATATGCAAATGTTTGATCCAGATGGGTTAGAGTAGACCCTCCAGATCAACTGCATAGGTCTTCGCTGCTTAAGCTAGCCATGTAACTGAAGGCAGTAACAGATTGTCATTCTCAGTGCAGTGCCCTAGAAAGAAGTGGAATATTTTGCAAATGAATTTCAAATATTTATCCATGGTAGATGAAGGCATGGGCATACCCAGGATTTCAGAAAGGGGCATGTGGGAGCAGTGACTTACAATACAGGCTCCCCCCCCACCCAAACACAGATCAAGCAGGCAGACACACCAAAGAATCATCAGTGGGAAGTTTTTTTAAATCCCTCAAGGAGGAAAAAACCTTTCCTCCCCCATCCCTTTCCCTCAGTGCTTAGAGGCACATTCCATCCCCTCTGCTGCTGCCACTTCCCTCAGCTAAACTGGGATGGGGGTGGTGAGGGGGTGAAGGAGGACTGCAGAGCTGTTCCTGCCCTCCTGAAGCTGAGATGCACATGGAGCCAGGCTTGGCTAGAGACAGAAGCTGCAGCAGTGGGCTGGTTCCCTTCCCCTGTGCCTGCTCCCGGATCAGCAGGGAGCACTGGGGGACCAGGCAAAGACAAGGAACCCACCATTGCTACTGCTGTCCCTGGCTGAGCACACCTGTCCACTGACCCTGACTGGAGTGGGCAAGAGTGGCTCTGAAGCTTCCCTCTGTCCTCAGGGGAGGTGGAGACAGCAGCAGTAGTGGGTGGGGAAGGTTGGAGAGAAGGGAACAGGGGGAAAGGGAAGAGGACATGTGCTAAGCAGGAAGGGAAAGGAAGGAGGGGATTCTTACTTGCTTTGGGGACTTAAAAAGAAGTCCCTGGTTGCTTCTCCAATGGCAGAATGGCAGTCAACTGTAAGTTCATACATCTGCCAGGAAAAGCAGTGAAAAAAAGTGAGGCTAGCCCAAACATGACAGAACATTTGCTATCTGCTTCCTTGGTGATATAGACTCCAGAGCCAGAAGGATTTTTTTTCCAAAGATTTATCCTGGTAACTGACAGAAAGTGTAAATGTCAAAAGGAAAAGGATATACAAGGAAATCAGAATGCCAGTTTCCCACCAGCTGTCATAATGTATACTCTAAATGAACAGTTACTAAAAATATTACCTCTGTATAGAACCCCCCCCCCACATTTAATACTACTATAAATGCATTGCAACTTACAAGGCCTGATGACTATAGCCACTGATACAGCTCAAGGATGATCATGAATTCATGCCCCAAAAACAAGATTTTTCCTCCAGTCATCTCAGCATCTAGCTATGACCAACTCTATTATGCAGAATGTTGAATGTGTCTGTAGATGCTCAAATTACCTGAAGGAAGGAGAACCAATTCCTCAACATTTCTTAGCTTTTCATTTTATCCTACAGATAGGTACCATATTTAAAAATAAGTTGCAATATTTGGTAACTAATCAGTGAGATTTGCCAAATCTCTATGAAGCATAAAAAATAGCTTTTTTTTTGCATCAGGTACTATAAGACAACTTGATTCCTCCACTGTAGGAACAGTATTTACAAGGGTAGGCACAAGAGATGCACCAAGCAATTCCACAAACACAATAATTCTTACATCCTATCAAGCACTATTTCCACGATTTCATTGTAGCCAACTGCAAGCACTGTCATCTCCCAAAAAAGAAAATACAATTATCTCTATCCTTATACCTTGTTCCTTCACCATTTCAGTTGTTGCTCTAAAGAAATTTAGTAAAATGAACCAAAGGAAGCAAAAAAGACCATCCTTACTAGTCAGCATTTTGAGGGTTTTCTTCATGACTAGACCTTCCTTCTTCTACCAATGTAGCGTTGGACAATTCAACTGGTAGCTCAGCCACCACTGCTCCCACCACTCCTGCTGGTGCTGCCACCAGAGTCTCCAGGATCTCTCTTCCTCTTTTCTGCTTCCTGCCCTGCAGAGATCCAGGGAGCCCATATGGGGTGCGGCTGCCCCAGCCACTCAGAAATTAGACAACTGGACTCATAAGGAAAACTGCCTTAATACGAACGGGTTTCATTTCTCCTCAAAAGAGGTAAAAAGGAATGATATTGCTTCTCAGTTTCTGTTATTATTTTAAACTAGTTACATAAACACACTATATTAAAATAGTCCAGTGGGAGGAAGTGTACAGAAGCAGTGAATGTTTGAATAAAACCATATACACAGACTCTCAGCTTTAAAATGCATTACTTGATTGAAAGGACTGGGTATGCTCCAATTGATTCCCCTGCAGAAGGAACTTCAACAGCTGGCTGTGGTTTTATTTTACACATACACACCCCCTTACCACTGCTATAATTTACAGAACAGAACGCCTTCTCTTGGTAGCTGTTGCAGTAGATTCCTCACCTCTTGATGGTGAGAGAGGTCAGTAATATCTTATTCGCATTCAACAAATGGCTACACTAGAATAGTTTCTGTGGGGTAACTCTACACCAGATTCTAGCAGGTTACCATCAATGTAGAGATATACATTGGATGTCTATTTTTTGTTTGCACTAGCGTACCAGCAGGCTTATACATGCTGTATGTTCAGGCCTTCTGAGAAGGACTTATGGGCAATACAACAATGCCAGTCAAAAACTGAACAAATAGCTAGTGCCATGACTTGAACTATTATTAGGCAACTAATAAATCACATTAGCAAGCTGTTGCCTATTACAAAGCTGATTTTAATTTGAAAAGTACTTGCTTATAGTTTTGGGGTACTCCCAAAAGGGAGGGAGTCATCTCATATGGGTAGTCTTGTTTGCGTTTAATAGTAAAGATTCTTACTTTTCTAGATTTTACAGGTTGCATCTCTTTGTTACCTAAAGTATATGGCTTAAGATGTGTTCATTTTGAAGAATCCTGAAGTCAGCTTTGGAGACCAACATTTCCCTGATATTTTCTTTGCCTGGCATTTTCTGACACCATCAGAAGAAAAAAATATGAAAAAGTCAATCTTGCTTTTCAAAAATATTATGTTAATTTAATTTGAACCCACAAATACTAAAATGTCTCAGTCGTGGTTATCTGGTAATTGGATGGAGTCCACATGTGGCCCTCATTGTGCGGTTTTTTTACCTTAAGATTTTGGATGTCTTCATATATCACCCTAGTTTTGAACTTCCTGGGTTTGAAATGCTTGGTTTCCAGACTGCAGGAATGTTTTTATAATTGTTTATATTCACCTGTAAGTTAGCCATACACACGCTCAACTTTAACTCTTGCTGACATAGTTTTTGTCTAGGAATAAACCAAGAAGCTTGACAATATTTTGGGCAGGAAAAGAAACAAGAATATTTCCAAAAAGATACTTTAATTGCTTATTTTGTTATATTATTTCTTCAGTTTTAAAATGTATTATTTTTAAACTGAAGTGTTATTCTCTTGATATTATTTAAGATACCAATAAAAAAAAATATTAGTCTACCCACTGAACTCAATGTCACAAACTCTTGTCAGACATCAAATGTATTGTTTTTTCAGTTTAATAAAAAAATGTTTTTTTATAAACACCACAATAATTAGATTCTATATATAGAAAATGTATAAATTTGTTAGAATTTTCCAGGTATAGAATCTATTGGAGGTTTGCCTTGAATTTGTCTCCATCCCACTACTACATCAGGGAAAATAAATCTGGGGGCGTGAAGTGGCCCCCTTACCTTCTGGATCACAACTTCTTCCCCTTGCAGCCCCCTTCCCCCCTTGCTTTCTGTCAGACCATGTTCTCCTTGAACACATGGAAGTGAGAAGTAAATCTGAAAACAGTGACTTTGAACTAAACATACCTGTAATAACTTGCATATAGGGAAATTATTACAGATACTCATAGACTTAGTTCATCCAGAATTAATTAAGTTTACCTTCTTTGAAACTGCTGCAAGTTTTAGCACAGGTATGCCATCAGTTCTGAATTTTACTGGGACTGTCCAATAGTCAAGTTCCAGATTTCAACTGAACAGAGCTCAATTTTTCAAATCTGTATGGCTCTAGCACCAAACAAGCATCCTCCATCCCAGACCCCTCAGTCTGGGGCTTCAGGCTCTCCCCAAATCCATGGCAGGCATATGTGCAAGCCCCACATCTTGGAGTCAGATATCCCCTAGACTCGCTTGCTCCTAGTCAAAAGGCGGAGAGTAGCAAGCCAGATGGGAAAGTGGAATGTAGTCCCCCATTACCACAAAATTGTGCAGTCAAGTTTCCTGCATTGTGGCAACTTGCAGGGATCAGCCGGCCTGGAGTGCAAGGGACAGGCCTCACCCTCGGAAAACCACCTTATTTATCATACTATAATTGATTTTAGCCCATAAGAAACTGAGAAACAATATACAGTACAAACTATTATTGGACTGGGCCCCAGCAGAGTTAACAGCATTTAAAGCCATGGTGATCCCATAGCTCAGCACATTACTGAGCACATGCTGCTTTTGGCAGTAGTTTAATGAGAGAGAATGTGTTTAGTGAGGTTAACTTGTATCCAAATGTAAGACAAGGGGCTTTTTCCCCCTATATTGACTGAGAAAAAAACCTCATCTTCAAGTAGTCAAGTAAATATGGTATTTCCTTCATTTTCCATCACTTGCAATGTTTGCTTGTAAAATAATTATAGCACCTTTTAGGATATAAAACTTATATTTTAGTGCTATTTTTGAAAAAAAAATTAAAATTTCCCCCCCCCCCCCCTCTTCAGGCCAAACATTCCTAGGAATTCTGTTAATTCCCACTGAGTAAGGGTGAGATCTTTGGAGTCTGCCAGCCCACTCAGACAGATATCCACACTGCGAATACAGCCAAAAAGTATATTTCAGGTGTATAATTTAAAAAAACCTATTCAAGATTTGGCTTTATTCCCTGCCCCCCGCCCCCAAAACTGATTCCAATCTAAAACTGAAAACCCTAGCTATATTGCATAATAATTAGGGACCTGCCAAATTCACCGTGGAAGTGGGTGGTTTTGGTAGCTCTTTAAACTTGAAGGTTCCCCCACACAGCCCCACTGCCGATTGGTGGAAGGGCCCCATTGCTCACTCCTGATCAGCAGGGAGGCAAAAACAGTGGTTTTAAATATGGCACCATTTTTGCCTCCTGGCCAGTCAGCAACAAGGCCACCAGGCCCCTTAGCCAATCAGCAATGGGGGTGGGGAGGGTTGCATGAGGTAACGTGCAAGATTAAAGGAGCTGCTGCACAGTCCATTTCTAGCGTGAATTTAGTAGGAACCTAGTAATAGTTCATGCACAATATTTTACTGCAAAATACAACCTGCAAAACATTCAGCTATCCGCATAAAAAAGAGCATGTATTCATTTTGTAAGGGGTAAGTGAAGCTGAAAGCAATTTGCATACAAATTCTTCAGGCTCTGTTCATTTCAAACAAAGCTTATATTGACATATTGCTGAATCTAGAATAGCTTATAAAACACAATGCAAGTTTTTTTTAACATTTAGCAGAGACTTCATTTACCCCTTTTCCCTTTATATACTTTGTGATGTAACAGTTGAAATGGTACAAGTTAGGAAAACTAAATTAGTCTATAGATCCTTATTTCCCCATTCTTTAAAACAATCCTTCCTCTTTTCAGCCCCACAAAGCCCAAAAGAGCTTCTGTACTTTAGTGAGACAAATGCACAATTGATTTCAAGTCCAATACATTAGATTTCTGAAGTGCCTTGGTTTTTCTGGCTGCCATCTATAAAATTTACAGTATATATAAATTGAGTGTTATCTTTTCTGTACAATTAGTTCCAGTCAATTATATTACTCCACCAGCACATTTATCTAAAGTAGTGGTTCTCACTCTATATGCCAGTAGGCCACACTTGCAGCTCTCAATGTGTTATATGGGTTACACCCACACAACTTACTTCCTGTGTACCCATTTAAAAAATATTTTTACAGGATGTCACATGGGCTGCAGCAGAGAACTGAGGGCCACATGTGGCCTGTGAGCTGTGGTTTGAGAACCACTGATCTAAAGCAGCTATTTTGTATAGGCCATTCATAATTTATGGGGGAAAAAATGTCAAATAGTAGTTTTCTGTGTGTAAAGTATTTGCATCTGTGCAATATTAAGTTTAGGTGGTAGTTTAAAAATATTTTGTATTTGTTTTTGTTGTTCGTGTACTATGGAATAATACAACATCCTAAGCTAACACCTTCCCCAGATCCAGGGAACTACAGACCAGTCAACCTAACCTCTATATCTGGAAAGATCATGGAGCAGGACCTCACAGAATCCATTGTGAAGCACCTACAGCTGGAAACAGACAGCATGGATTCACCAACAGCAAGATATGTCTGATCAAGATGATTTCATTCTATGGTAAGGTGATAGGTTTTGTGGACTGGGGGAGAAGGTGAGTGGGGAGGAGATGACAGTAGTGGATGTAACATATCTCAACATTAACAAAGCTTTTGACACCATCTTTCACAAGATTCTCCTTAATAAGCTAAGGCAATACACATTAACGGAAAGTTCTGTAAGGTGGCTACAAAACTGATTGGGTCATCGCTACCAGCACAGCAATAAGCACTCTCAGCTTCAGGCCTCTAGCTCAGGGGTGGGCAATTATTTGGGCCCAGGGACCACATAAGGAGCTTTGATGAGCTGTTGCCAGCTGGGTCAGCACCTCCAGCCCCACACAACAATTCACCCAACTCCCTATGTGGGATGGGGCCATGGTCAAACTGGGAGTGGTGTTTATGAGCAGGATAGGTGATCCACTCTCTGCACAGCCTTGCCCTGTTGGGGAGGGGGTGGATTGTGCAGGGGCACGTGCACATGTGGACGTGTGAGGGGAGGGGCTGGCCTGGGTGCTAGGTTCCAGGAATGAAGGGAGTGAGGGGAGGGGCGCACGCAGCAGAGCTCACCTGGGTGGTACAGTCTGTGATCCTCTGCATGGGGCTGAGCCCCACCAGCTCCCACCCAGGGCAGCCCCGCCCCGGGCAGCACCGCCGCTTCTGCTGGTGCAGACCTGGCCGGCCTCCTCCCATCCCCAGCAGCACATGGGAAGCCGGCTTCAGCTGCATGCTGCTTTTTCTGGCTGGTGCCAACCTGATTCTGCTCAGGCAGGTCCTGCAGCACCATGTCAACCCGGGCATGGCACTGGCAGGCTGGGCGGGCCCCAGGTTAACCCCGGCCTGGCCTCGCGGCTTCTTCAGCACCAGGTTAACCCGGTTGTAGCCAAGCGGCTCCTGCAGCACCATGTCAACCTGGGCATGCATGCCATATCAACCAGCACCATGTCAACCCCTGCAACTTCATTGGTGTCAAAGGTCACGTGACATCACTTCCTGATATGATACCACTTCCTGTGATGTCTTTGAATATGGCTCACTGGCCCACTGGGTGATAAAAAGTTTGTGACCCGGCCCCACATTCAAAAAGGTTGGACACCCCTGTCTTAAAGTAACAGGAGCCCCAGGCTTCCTGTTACAGGTACAGTTGCAAAAACTCCAGAGAGTAGGCCCAGGATCCAGAATGACCTGGATAGGCTAAAGAAATTCTCTGTAATCAATCAGATGAATCATAGAAAATTAAGGTTGGAAGGGACCTCAAAAGGTCATCTAGTTTAACCCCCTGCTCAAAGCAGGACCATTTCCAACTAGATCATCCCAGCCAAGGCTTTATCTAGCCAGGTCTTAAAAACTTCCAAGGATGGAGATTCCACAACCTCTCTGGGTACAGTGCTTTACTACCTTCCTCGTGAGAAAGTTTTTCCTAATATCTAAGCTAAACTTCCCTTGCTGCAACTTGACACCGTTGCTCCTTGTTCCGTCATCTGCCACCACTGAGAATAGTGGTAGAATCATTTTGAATCATTCTTTAGGAGGTTGAAGGCTGCTATTAAATCCCACTTCAGCTTTCTCTTCTCCAGAGAAGATCTGAGAGTCAGCAAGGACAAGTACAAAGTCCTGCACTTGGGACGGAATAACCACATTCACAAATACAGACAGGGGAACAAGTGGCTAGCCTGCAATACTGCAGAGAAGGACTTGGGGAGGAGTAAGAGGAGCTTATAATAGACTGTAAACTGAATATGAACGAGCAGCTTGCTCTTCTTGCAAAAAAGGCAACAGCATACTGGGTTGTATTAACAGGAGTATCCCTTGCAAATCAAAGGAAGCAATTCTTTCCCTCTATTCAGCCCTGATGAGGCCTCTCCTAGACTACTGTGTCCAGGTTTGGGCCCCACACTTCAAAAAGGATTTGAAGGGGACAGTTTAGAAAGAGTCCAGCAGAGAGCAACAAACATTAATAGGGGCCTGGGAGGCAAGGCTTATGGGAAAAGGCTGAAAGAACTAGGGTAATTTAGTCTACAGAAGAGGCATTCTACAAAACTTTTTTGCAAGGACATTTATCTCGAGAAGTTTACTCGCTTTGGCTTTGCTTACATTAGGCACGTTTTAGTTTTTCACCAACTTCAGTGAAAACGGCTGAATAGGTTTTGCACTGGCAGGAAGGGGGAGCAGGGAAGAGGGGTGAATTCTCATGACAATTTTTTCAGGTGGTTTAATTTGTTAAAAATAAGAAATTGAGAGGAAGCTATATACAATACAGTTAAAAAATTAAAAAGTTGTAAGGAAAAAAATAAGAACCTACCTACCCAGCAACAAAAACACATATCATTAGCCACAGACCCATTGTGTGATATTGGTTAAAGCTTAAGGATATTGTGAAGTAGAACAAGAAAGGCATCGACATAGTTACGCACAATTTGATCTAAAACCAAAATGGATGAGCACACACCTGTCTGCTGACTGAGCAAAAAAAGCTATAAGGAGCTGAAGCAGTAGGAGAAATTATAAAAGATGCTATTCAAGAACAAAGGGCATCAATAGCTAGGGTTAGCAAGACATTAATTTTCAGTTATTCAATTTTTTTTTTTCAAAAAGGAATAAAAAATAGGGATAAAAAAATAAGGAGTTAGTAGCTGCCCACAAAAGCTGAACTAAGCAGCTTATATTTTATCAGCATTACAACAGCTATTAATAACACTATACTTGTAAGTATATGAAGAGTACAATAAATAGAGAGAAAAGTATTAGACAGTGATGATTTTATCCACAGGTGATTCAAAGTTTGGGCCTGTTCCAATTCCCAAGAAAGAACAAGAAAATGCAAACAATGACATTTCCAACAAGAAAATTCAGACATTTATTATTTTTGTCTTTTTTTTAAGTGGTAAATCATGGGAAATATCTAAGTGTATCATGTCTGAGTTCCAAACCAGGTAGGAAGTGATAAACTAGATTATCTGTTGGTTTCCACAGCTAATTTTTCTAAATACAGTCCGTGGACTGAAAAGGATATGT